ATGGCGACCGCCTTTCGCTCGCTCTCGCCAATCGCCGCGCACGTCCCGCCCTGGGAGGCGGGGCCGGAGGCGACGGGGACGTCCTGGGCCGCACAGGCCCCGCGGCGCCGCATCTGCTGGCTCCGCCCCTGCCGCGTCCCGGCTCCGCCCCTTAACTCTGGCTCCGCCCCCATTCCTGGCCCTTCCCCATTCCTGCCACCAGCAGGAGCGCGGCTGGCGACGCCACCTGCCGATGCCCAGTGGTTTAAACCCGTAATAAAACCGTTGAAGAAAGCCGCGTGACACCTGGCAAAGCGACTTATAAATGTTCATCACTTCCTTTACGCTTCTCATCAATTCTGGGGGAGGGAGAGACCGTATGATTACACTTTACAGAGGAGAAAATAGAGGCGTAGAGAGGTTAGAGGGCCGTGGAGGGAGGCTAGAGCCAAACCATTAATTCAGCATTCATTCATTCATTCATCCAGTAGGTGTTTGTTGAAGGCCTGTTATGAGCCAGGCACTGTGCTAGGCGATCGGGACACGATGTGGAGTAAGACAAACGGATACTGCTGCCCTCACAATGGACCTCAATGTAGGGAGTGACACAGACATTAATCAAACCAATGATAAAATTAATGAGTAATTACAAATGTGATAAATTGTGGTAAGTGAGGGTGCATATTGTCTTACGAGAACATAGGAAAATTGGGGAAGTCTGGAAATATTTCCTTGAAGAAGAAGCAATTGAGCTGATATCTGAGGGGGTAAGTAGACATTAACTAGGAGGAAAGGGATAAAGAGTCCCAGACAGAGAGTTCAGCACATGCCAAGACCCAGAGGTAGGTTGGAGAACTGTCCTAGTTCCCCCTTCCCCTTCTGGCCCTACCTTTATCGAATATATAGATCAGCTCCACTATCTCAATTAGGTCCCTGGATGGCGCAAATGGTTTGCTCTTGACTGCTAACCAAAGGTTGACGGTTCCAACTCACTCAGTGGTGCTGCAGAAGAGAGGCCTGGCAGTCTGCTTCCACAAGAGAACCCTACGGAGCAGTTCTACTCTGTAACACATGGGGTTGCCATGAGTCAGGATTGACTCCATGGCAACGGGTTTGGTTTTGATTATCTCAAATCCTGTGTTGTACTGGCTTCTAAATGTTTTTAAAAGAAAGATAAATCAGAATGTTTTTTAAATGGTAACATATAGAGGGAAGGAATAGGATGGAGGGGACAAGGATAGAAGCTAGACTTTCTAAAATTAAAAACATACCTTGTTTTGTAGATTTGACTTCACAATCATGTATTTTAGGTAATTATAAAACAAAATTAAAAACTTAAAGAAATCCCTATGAAATAAAATTAAAACAAAACAAATGAACCTGTATATCCAGTTGGTGACAAAACAACACAGAGTAACTAGTGATTTTAAAACACCACAATTCAACTGTACATGCTATTATGTTACTGTTGGTGGTGTTAAAATTGTTTTTCTGAACTTGTTGTGTATGTAGTGGGGGATAAAGCAAAGGAGTAATTATGTTAATGTCAAGAACTGGGATTTTCAGAGGGAGTGAAAGGAAACACAGATGTAAGATCGATTAAGTAAATGCCCTGTGATCTTGAATGTGAATTTGAAATATCATGATCTATTTTACCTTCATAACAAAACACTTCCTAGCTCTTTCCACTGAAAAGATCAGAAACAAGGACTGACCTAGTTACAATCCCGATGCCGTAGAGTCGATTCTGACTCATAGTGACCCTATAGGACAGAGTAAAACCACCCCATACGGTTTCCAAGGAGCGCTTTGTGGATTTGAACTGCTCACCTTTTGGTTAGCAGCCGTAGCTCTTAACCACTATGCCACCTAGTTGCAATGGGCATGCCTAATACTCAGACTGTGGTCTCTAAATACCATCCCAGGGAACCTGAGGGATGTGTCTGATTCTGGATCTGGGACGGGAGATGTACAAAATGAGCTGGGACATCTTGTTATACCAGAAATCAAAAGAGTTATCAAGATAGTGGAGCCCTGGTGGTGCAGTGGTTAAGAGTTTGCCTGCTAACCAGAAGGTCAGCAGTTCAAATCCACCAGCCGCTCCTTGCAAACTCTATAGGGCAGTTCTACTCTGTCCCATAGGGTCACTTTGAATGGGAATCAACTTGATGATGGCAATGGGCAATGGGATCACGATAGTGTCTACAGAGGTAATCTAGAAGAGGCTGTCATGGGGACAGTGGTGGTTCAGTGGTAGAATTCTCACCTCCAATGCAGAAGACCCAGGTTGCATTCCCAGCCAACACACCTCATATGAAGCTACCACCCACTCATCAATGGAGGCTGGCGTGTTGCTATGATGTTGAACAGGCTTCAGAGGAGCTTCCAGACTAAGATGGAATAGGAGGAAAGGCCTGGCAATATATTTCTGAAAATCACTTCACGAAAACCCTATGGATCACAATGGTCCAATAGGCAGCCAATGATGGGGATGGCACAGGACCGGGCAGCATTTCATTTTGTTGTATATGGGGACGTCATGAGTCAGGGACCAACTGGACAGCAGCAAACAACAATAGTGTACATACACGGCACCACTTGAATTTCATCAGGCCTCTAGATCTATTAATTTGCAGGAAATGCGGGCGACAAAGGGACACGTTAAATACCATCATAGGTCCATAGAGACAGAAAGTAGATTAGTGGTTTCCAAGTGCTTGCCAAGGAATGGAGGAGGGGAAAATGAGGAATGATAGTTTAATCGATATTGGATTTCTTTTTGGTGATGAACCGGCTCTAGACTTAGTGGTGATGGTTACACAACACTATAAATACACTAAAAACCACTAATTGTATATTTTAAAATGGTTAAGATGCTGAATTTTTATGTTATGTGAAACTTCTCAAATTTTTCTAAAGAAAGAAAACACACACAACACATACACCATAGAGAGGTTATTGGCAACATTCAGACTGAGAAGCTACAGGACAAATGAGTCATTTCTTTAAAAAAAAAAAAAATCAAGGCAAGAAAAATAAGAGCTACAAGGGGAATTTGTAAGTTAAAAAAACTGAAGTCTTAAATCAAAAATCAATTAGAATGTGTAGACTACGTTTGGACACCGATTCAAACACATCATTCAAAAAATTATAAGACAATCTGACAAATGTGAACACTGGCTAGATATTTGACAATATTAAGGAATCATTATTCATTTCCTTAGGTGTGATAATCATATTGAGGTTATGTTACCAAAAAGTCCTTATATTTTACAGATATGTACTGAAAGCTTCCTAGCTGGACTATGTCTGGGATTTGCAAATGGGAAGGGAATAGGGAGTACAGATGAAACAAGATTGGTCTGCTGAAGCTCAACACATAGGGGGTTTGTTAGACTCTTAATGCCTCTGGGGTGGACTCAAACCACCACCCTTTCATTTAGCAGCCAAGCACGTAACCATTTGCACCACCCAGGGCACAACTTTTGTATATGTTTAAAATTTTCCATAATAAAAGTTTTAAAGTTTTGGTGTATTTCTTTCCAGCCTTTTATCTGGGCATTTTCCCCATTTGTTGGGACCTTCTGGCCCATAGTTGTTAGTTGCCATCCAGTTGGCTCCGACTCATGGTGACCTTACGTACAACGGTAGAAAACGTTGCCTGGTTCTGTACCATCTTCACGATCATTGGTATGCTTGAGTCCATTGTTGTGGCTATCGTGCCAGTTCTTCTCATTGAGGTTTCCCTCATTTTTGATGACCCTCTATTTTGCCAAACATGATGTCCTTTTCTAGAGATTGGTCTTTCCTGATGATGCGTCCAAAGTAAGTGAAGTCTTGCCATCCTCGCTTCTAAGGAGCATTCTGGTTGCATTTCTCCTGATTTGTTTGTTCTTCTGGCAGTCCATTATATATATATATGCATATATTGATATATACCCATTGCCATTGAGTTGATTCTAACAGAGTAGAACTGCCTCCTAGAGGGTTTCCTGGGCTGTAATCTTTACAGAAGCAGACTGCCACATCTTTCTTCTGCAGAGCAGCTGGTGATTTCTAACCACTGACCTGCGGTTAGCAGCTGAGCACCACCAGGGCTCTTTTTAGTCCATGATATAGGCACTCAGTAAACATTGGGAAAGGCATCATAGCTTAGTGATTGCACACATCTCTGGGTTTGAAACCTGCTTGCTTCTTACTAACTGGGAGACCTTGGGCAAATCACCTCATTTCCCTGTCCCCTATCTACAAAACAGGACTAGTAAATTATGCCCACCTCCTAGGGTGGTTATGAATAGTAAATAATTATATCTAACAGACTCAGGCCACTACCAGTTTGTCAATTTGTCATACTATGGTGGCTTGCAAGGAGTCATGGTGGCATAATTGTTAAATGCTCGTCTGCTAACTGAAAGGTCAGCGGTTTGAACCCACGGGAGAAGAGAACTGGCCATCTGCTCCTGTGAAGATTACAGCTTAGAAAACTCCACGGGGCAGTTGTACTCCATCACACTGGGTTGCTAGTTGGATCAACTCGATGGCACACAACAACAACATGGTAGCTTGCGTGTTGCTGTGATACTGGAAACTATGCCACTGATAACTTCAAATACCAGCGAGCTTGCCAAGGTAAACAGGTTTCAGTGGAGCTTCCAGTCTAAGACAGACTAGGAAGAAAGGCCTGGCAAGCTACTTCTTAAAATTAGTCAATGAAAACCCTATGGATCACAATATTGTCCAATATAGTACTGGAAGATCAGCCCCCTAAGTTGGAAGGCACTCAAGACACACAATGGCCCCAACAATGGACTCGAGCATAGCAACCATCATGAAGGTGGACAGGATTGGGCAGTGTTTCGAGCTGCTGTACATGGAGTCACCATGAGCAGAGCCAACTTGATGGCAACTAAGAGTTGAGACTCCAGGACAGTACCTGGCACAGGGTGAGCATGATGTGCTATAAATCACTGAAACTAGAGTAGTTAAAACAGCATCACTGGACGGTTGATTTCAAGAGGGCAGGGACCATGTCAGACTTGTTCCCGGGTATGTACCCAGGGCCTAGCAGATGACGGACGCTCAAGAAATATTGATCTTTTGACTGTTGTGACCCTTTGAGGTGCCTCATTGCTTCATTTGGCTCTCCTGAAGCCTCCTGTCCACCGTCCCCCTCTGGCCTCTCCATGCCCTGCCTGCCCACACCCGGGGAATCAGCGCCCACTCGGTCTGTGTGAATGGACCCCTGAGCTGTGTGGTGCCGTCTGCCGTCTCCTCCCATCTGACAATCCACTCTGCCGCCGCCAGGTTTGGCTAGCTCTAACGCCCGTTATGTTTTGAATTATGTTCCCCCAAAAGATATGCTGAAGTCCTAACTGCTGGAACCTCAAAATGTGACCTTATTTGGAAATATGGTCTTTGCAGATGTCATTAGGTCAACGTGAGGTCATGCTGGTGGAGGAAAAAACCAACAAAAGCAGCTGCCCACTCCGACTCCGGCTCATGGTGAACCTGTGTATGTCCGAGTAGAACTGTGCTCCATAGTTTTCAATGGCAGATTTTGTGAAAGATTGCCAGGCCTTTCTTCTGAGGTGTCTCTGGGTGGATTCAAACCATCAAGTTTTCGTTTAGCAGCCGAGGGCTTAACTGTTTGTGCCACCCAGGGACTCCATCCTGGAGTAGGGAGGACCCCAATCTCTTCAAGGCTGGTGTCCTTACAAGAAAAGAGAGACACAGACAGATACAGGGGGAGGACAGGCATGTGAAAAATGAGGCAGAGATGCCGCCACAAGCCAAGGAATGCCTGGTGTACCAGAAGCCGGAAGAGACAAGGATATTACCTTGAGCCTTCGAAGAGGGTATGGCCCCGATAACACCCTGATTTTATACTTCTAGACTCCAGAACTGACAGAATAAATTTCTATTGTCTTAAGCCACCCAGATTGTGGCACTTAGTTACGGCAGCCCTTGGACACTAACACGTTCATGTCCAGGATGGCTCTGGACCATGCGAATAGCCCCAGCAGCCAGGTGGGCTCCTGGACCTTCTTCCTCAGGGTCTGTCTCGTACACCAGCTGACAGGTCCTATTCTCAGGGCCGGGTCTGGGTTTGCTCAATGCTCCAGGTGGGGTGCCCAGAGCCTAGAACTGGTATAGAGTGAACCTCCCCTCTGGCGGACCTCCAAGGCATCAAGGGCACTAGAGGCTTCTTCGGTCAGAGGCTGGAGCTGCCAGACAGCTGCCTGTGCAGAGGTGGGAGAGGACACAGACGGGGTCCCGGTGGTCACCGCAGGGGTGGTGAGGAGGGCCTCCTCTCCGCCGCAGTGGGAGCCGACCGCAGCCAGTCTTGCCCACGTGAACCAGGGGAGAAGCTGGGTCCCAGGAAGAGGCAGCAGAACACCAGGCCGCCCACCTCCGGTCACCAGCGTCCTCCCCTTTGGGCCTTCCTCAAACCACACCCTGAGGTAGAGAGCACTCGGGGACTGGTATTGCCACCATCCCCTGGGCAAATGTGCCTTGCCATACCTGACCAGGCCCCCAGGTGGGGAGGAGGCTTGGGCAGCATGGGGCTGGGAGGGTGGCAGTGGGCACAGCCTTGTGCCCATCTCCTCTCTGGGACGTGCCCGGAGTCACAGCTGCAGAAGTGAAGGTCCTCAGGGCTGGGGGTCATAGGGCCATGGGGTTTAATGCCAAGGACACCCCGGGAACAAACTGGCAACAGCAACGTGAAAGGTCAGATAGGAAGCTTAGGGGGCGGTGAGTTTATGTTAATGGGGGAGGAACAATTTGGAAAAGGCGGGTGAGAATGGTTGCGCAACTTGAAGAATGTCATCAGTGTCACTGAATTATACATGTAGAAACAGCTGAATTGGTGTATGTTCTGCTGTGTACAGTTTCAACAACAAAAATAAATAAAATTTATATTAAAAAGAGAGGAAACTTGGCGCTTTGGTGTCATTGTTTGAGCTACTGGATGTCTTACCTGCCACTGGAGTTTGATTTACGTGGATTTAAAATTGGTCCTCTTATTTAAAAAAAAAAAAAAAAAAGAGCCCCCTCAGGCCATGCTCTCCCAGTCTTCCCTGCCTCCCTGCCACAGGGAGACCCCATCCTCACCCAGCCCCGAGACCGCACACAGCCATGCAGTTGGGCTCAACATGGCCGTCAGCAGGTGTCTGATCCTGCCGTGCCCTGTAGAGGGGGCTGGGCCTGCGGCTGGGGTGGGGGGGCAAGGGGCAGGAGCAAGGGGCCTCGGGCCAGGAAGGCCACCTGGCGGAGGGAAAGAAGACAAAGGCGCAGGTTTCTGTCCAGGAAGTTGGATTATACATTTTAGTCATGGGCGCGAGGCATCAGGGGACAGTGCAGGACCACGGGGCGAATAAGAGGTCGAGAGCTAGGGTTTGGCGTCAATCTTACAAAGTGTATAAAGAATCTGTGTTTCTCTACAATAACAAAAACCAAAGGCTACAAGAGCAGTTGTATATACAAAACACGGAGATATTGCTTCACTTGCAAACAAGTTCCTGACCAGATGGGGAGACAAGACGGGGTAGGGGGATAATGGAGAGCGTGCTGCGTGCAAAAAGTGGGAGGAGGGAAGAGGGGTCTTCTCCCAGCGGAGAAGGAGCTGGAGGCACGCAGAAGGCGCAGAAGGCGTGCCGGCCTGCACCTGGGGAGCAGGCAGGATGCTGAGTGTCAAGAATGTCCACCCGGCCCGGTCCCCCCCGCAGCGCCTGGCTCTGCAGGTGTCAGCCTGGAAGGTTCTCTGGGTCGGGGCGAGGGGCCGGCTGGGCCAAGTGGCCAGAGAGGGAGGGAAGCAACCGCTTCTGGGAGTCTGCCATGGAAAATGCAAGAAGCGTGCTCGGCCGGGCCGTCCTCCTGGCCTCTGGCCAGCCCTGTGCACCCTGCCACTCTCCCCACCCACCAAGGGGCCCCCTGGAACCCACGAGGAGCAGGAGCAGCAAGTGGAGCTTCTAGCTTTCCTCAGGTGGGCCAGGCCGGGAGGCACTGCTCAACTCCGGCTCCTCGGAGAGCTCGCTGGGAGGGAGGGAGGGAGCGAGCCAGTCACAAAGGGACAGAGGGTGGGGAGGACAGTGTGGCGGGAGGCCGGGAGGACGAGGACGTGCACACACGCTCGGGGCGAGGCGTGGGGGTCACAGGTTCTGGCAGCACTGCAGCTTGTTGGGCTTCTGTCCGTCGGTGGTGGGTGGCACGCTGATGTCCACCACATTATTGCCAGGGGACTCATCATGGGCTGCGCGGTCGGCAATCTGCTTCTGTGACACGATGCGGTAGATCTCTGTGGGGGGGCGGGGGGTGGGATGAGGCAGGGGGCAGGAAAGGGGCAAGGAGGGTCACGGTGCCCCACTGCACAGACAGCCCACATGCAGGACTCAGAGGACTCAGTTCTCCCCTCCCAAAGGCTTCCACGGTGTCCTGAGCGCCCCCGATCATGTCAGGTTGACAAGGTCGGGATGCTGGGTGTCTGTCCTGACCACCGATGCGTCCACTCCCCCAGGCCTCTAACCTCTAGGGTCCCAGTGTGTGCGGATGCTCCCTCATCCTCAGAGCAGCTTTCCAAGACTGAACTTCTAGAAGCGTCTGCCCTTGGCTGCCTGCCTCCCCAGCTGGCTGTTCCCTGGAGGAGCCTCTAGCAGGACCCCCCTGTGGGGGCTGGCTGAGGGGTCTCTGTGTGCCCCACACCGGCAGGGTCAGGCTCTACCCCGTGGAGGTGCTGTGTTTGCCCTGGTGCCCACAGTGACAGGCAGGTGAATGAATAAAGGGTCAGGGGCAGACTTCTGGCGAGTGCAGCCTGTGAGGGACGTGCCCCCACACCCGCTCGGGTGGGCCCACCGGTATTCCTGTGCCCCTGCCCAGTCCTGGGCCCACCTGTGAGGATGTTCTTGAAGGCCTCCTCTACGTTGGTGGAATCCAAGGCTGAGGTCTCAATGAAGGACAGGTTGTTCTTTTCTGGAACAGAGAGAACAAGTGAGCTGGTGCCAAGGGGTGAAGACCAGATGCCCACTCCTCACAGAGGGGAGGCTGGCACTGTGGCCATGGGAGTAAGCCAGAGAGATGCTAGGGCCTGGGCCCCAACACCAGCCTTCCAGAAGCTTCTCTGATGCCTCAGGAGTGTGGGGCCAGATGGGGCCATGCGGACTCACAGGGACCAGAACATGGGAAGCCCTTCCAGCCTTGCCCAGCCCTGCCTGCTCACTTGAGAAGGCGTCGGCCTCACCTGAGCTCTGTCTGCTCACCTTCAGAAGGTGTGGGCCTGCCTGGGCCCCACCTGCTCACCTGAGAAGGCGTGGGCCTCGTCTGGGCCCCACCTACTCACCTTCAGAAGGCGTGGGCCTCACCTGAGCTCCATCTGCTCACCTTCAGAAGGTGTGAGCTCAGCTGGGCCCCACCTGCTCACCTGCGAAGGCACGGGCCTCGTCCGTGGGCACGGCCCGCAGGTGACGCAGGTCGCTCTTGTTGCCCACCAGCATAATGACGATGTTGCTGTCCGCGTGGTCCCGCAGCTCCTTCAGCCAGCGCTCTACGTTCTCGTATGTCAGGTGCTTGGCGATGTCATATACCAGCAGAGCGCCCACCGCGCCGCGGTAGTACCTGCAGGGGTGGGGTTCCAGGCATGAGCCTCTGCAGGCCTCTCCTGGCCCGACCCCCTAGGCTTTGGGGGCAGCAGCTGCCATACAGGAACTTGGGGAGTCAGGGGCTCCTTGGCCCACACACAGGGCCCAGCTGAGGGCAGCCACTGTGGTGGCCTCAAGGGACATTTGCATGTCCTGAGGCCCTGGCCCTGTTCCCCAGATTCAGCTCAGGAATGTGGGGCTTGAGGAGGGGGTTTGGGGTGTGGAGTTGGAAGATAGCCCCAAGGGCAGGGGCAGAAGGGGGAGGACATGGCATCTGGGCAGGGGGAGGCTGCTGCTGCCGCTGAGGCCTGGCCAGCGTTGGCCGTGGGCTCTTGTGCAGGCCTGGCCTGGACTCCCCGGGAGGCCAATGGACACCTCCACCCTGAGGGACAAAGGAGATGGTAGGCGGCTGGCCAGGCTGAGGTGAGCGGGAAGTGAGTGGCTCTGTTGGAGAGAGGGAATGGCCCGGGGCTGGGAGGCCTTGGGGAGGGAAGGGCCACCTGGTGGGAGCACAGGATGGATGTGAGAGAGCCGTGAGCCGCAGCACAGAGGCGACACTGAGGGGAGCTGAGAGAAATGGCAGGCGGGGGACACAGCCAGGCAGGGCTGGCCCGACCAGGCCGTGGGCGGAATGGAGTGGCCCAGGCAGGCCTGGGGTGACCACCCTAGGTAGCAGAGAACCTGGCTGCAAACAGCACATGAAAAGATGCTCAACACCATTAGTCACTGGGGAGACGTAGGTGACAACCACACTGAGATACCACTTCACACCCAGTAGAAGGGACATAACAACAGGTGTTGGTGAGGTGCTGGAGAAACTGGAACCCTCCTCCATTGCTGGTGGGAATGTAAAATGGTGCAGCCACTTTGGAAAACAGTTTGGCAGCTCCTCAAAAAGTTAGAACTTAGGACCACCATATGACCCAGCAATTCCACTGCTAGGTACCTACCGAAAAGAACAGAAAGCAGGAATGCACACACACAGGCGTATACCACTGTTCATTGCAGCACTGTTCACAACAGCCAAAAGGTGGGAACTACCTACATGTCCCATCAACAGATGAATAAACAAAACGTAGTATTTATGTAGAATGGAATATTACTCAGCCATAAAGAGAAACGAAGTCCTGATCCACGCTACAACATGGATGAACCTCGAATACATTACGCTGAGTGAAGTAAGTCACTGGCAAAAGGACAAATATTGTATGATCCCACCTACATGAAACATCTAGAATAGGCAAGTGCATAGAATCAAAATTTATTAGTGTTTACTAGGGGTGGGAGGGAGGGGGAAAGAGGAAATCATTGCTTAGAGTTTCTGTTAATGCTGGTGGAAATATTTGGAAATGACAGTGTTGACGATTGTACAACATGATGAAACGTAATTAATATCACTGAATGGTACACATAAAAAAATGTTGACAGAAGAATTCTGATCTAAAGGGGGAAAATACAGAACAGAACCAAATTTGCAAATTCTCACGGAACCCAGACTTTCTGGAGCCACAGAAGCTGGATGAATCCCTAAAACTACTGCCCTCAGATAATCATTAAACCTTAAACCAAAAATATTCCCTGAAGTCGTCTTAAAACCAAACAATAGTTTAACTTAACTAGTAAAGAGTGTCTGCCTTGAGCATTGTGCTCTTTTAAGAACTATCTATATAGGATCAGACTGTCAACAGCAACCTGATAGAAAGGAGCCTTAGAGGGCTGTGAATTCATGTTAAGGAGGAGGAACAACTCAGAAAAGCTTGCACAACTTGAAGAATGTAATCAATGTCACTGAATTTGACACGGAGAAATTGTGGAATGGTGTATGTTCTGCTGTGTATAGTCTCAACAACATCAACATCAACAAATATAATTTAAAAAGAAAAGGGGGATGTTGAACTGGCAATGTTTTGTTATATATATATTTACCACAGTTAAAGGAAAAAAAAAAAAGAATCTGGCTGGTCTGTGTCCCCAGATCCTGGGAGGTAGTCCCTAAACCCTTGCGATTCCCTGAGTGTCTTTACTATTCACGGTGGGTCCAGGCCATGGTTTGTGCTAATGAGATGACTCAGGATAAGATCCACCTTGTGATTAGAGGGCTGATCTTTGAGTCACATGATGTCAGCCCAATCTCCAGGGAGGGCAGGGGGCTGGTGACTGAGTTTGATCATGTGGCCAATGATTCAATCAACCACACCTATGTAATGATACCCCAATAAACAAGGAAGCTCAGGTGAGCTCCCCTGGTTGGCAATACCCTGCGTGTTGTCAGGCATCGCATCAATGTGCCAGGAGGGTGATATGTCCTGACTCCACGGAAAGGGACATGGAAGCTTCACGTTCGGGGCTCTCCCAGGTCTCGCCCCCTGCATCTCTCCCTTTGGCTGGCTCTGATGTATGTCCTTCTGCTGTGATACAACTATTATCAGTAAGTATAGTGCTTTCCTGACTTCTGGGAAGCACTCTAGCAAATTATCCAACCTGAGGGAATAGTGGGACTCCCCCAGATTTGGAGCCAAGTGGTCAAAAGTGAGGGTGGTCTGGGGACCCTGAGCCTGCAGTTGGTGTCAGAAGTGAGGGCGTCTTGTGGAGGGCTGTGCTCTTAACCTGGGAAGTTTGACTCAACTCCAGGTAGCAGGTGTCAGAACTCATTGTAATTCTCACTGTATACCTGGCACCCAATGTTACTGAGAGGGCCTCAGAGGAGAATCCCAGGGCTCAAAGTAGCTGTGGGAACACTCACCCATGGTCACAACATGGCTGAGGGTTCCTAGCTTCCGGGGGGTCTCTGCAGCTCTGTGCTATAGGGTGGTGTCCAGGGCATCTCTCCACCCAACTGCACGGCCCCTCTGTCCCTGCTCTCCCCCTCCTCCTGCCCATCTCCTATCTCGCCCGCACGCTCTCTGCCGCCAGGACCTCCGCCACCTGCCCTCCCGTACTCACGCGGAGGTGATGGCACGGTAGCGTTCCTGGCCAGCCGTGTCCCAGATCTGCGCCTTGATGGTCTTGCCGTCCACCTGGATGCTGCGGGTGGCGAATTCCACACCGATGGTGCTCTTGCTCTCCAGGTTGAACTCGTTGCGGGTGAAGCGTGACAGCAGGTTGCTCTTCCCCACGCCCGAGTCCCCGATGAGCACCACTGTGGGGGAGGGCAGAGGGGAGACATGTGTGTGAGCCGGAGTCGGGTACCACCCACATCCCCCCATGGAACGTTCACAGCGGCTCCCTGGGTGCTGAGCAAACCAGCACCCCAATGCAGTGGAGGGGTCTGAGCTTTCCTGGAGCCCCTCACCCACAGGCACCAGGTTTCCTGGTGCAGGAGCAAATGGAGGTTTAGGTCTTCCGGAAACAGCCTCTGAGACAGCAGAACACCCCTGCCTATCCTGGGCATCCCAGTAGACCCCCAGCAAGCTCTGGAGCTGTGCAGCCTTGGGCAAGTCACTTAACTTCTCTGGGCCGCATGTATGGAAAGGAAGACAGTAACAGGAACTGTCTCCGGGAGGAGGAAGTGGCAGTGTGCGTGCACAGAGCTCAGCCCCAGTGCCAGGGGAGGTCTATGTGGTGGGGCACGTCCACACACGGTTCACACGCGTTTGTCTGCTCCTGTGTCACCCAGCTCCCCGACTGCCTCACAGCAGGCCTCGCCAGCCCAGAGGGTCTTATGCATGCCTGCCCATGGGCCCCACCCATGCCCAGAAGCGGGGGGGAGGGCATCACGGCTGGGAGGGAGCTAAGAGATTGCGGGCAGAATCCTGCTGGGACCCGGTGTCTGACTGGTATACACAGGGTAGGCAGCAAATGCCCAGGGCCCAGATGAGGGGCAGGGGTGCACCTCAGCCTCCAGGCCTCACGGGCCTCCACGGAAGTCACAGTGCAGGAGATGGGGTTCCGAGAATGTTCTGAAGACCCACGGGGCAAAATGCTAAGGGAAGGCCTAGGGCTTCCCAGCTGTGTGAGCAGCTCAGGGTATTCATGGATTCTCCACGCTGGACGGTGACCCTGCTGATTTTTCAGTAGTAGATCACCAGGCTTTTCTTCCAAGGCACCTCTGGGTGAACTTGAACCTCCAACCTTGTATTACTGGGCTAGCAAGGTAAACGTTTCCACCATCACAGCCTATTCTCCTCGCAGCCGCCCGAGGGCACCCGTGAGCACCTGAGTCAGGGATCTCACCTCCCTGGTAAAAGCCCGAGTCCTCCCAGCACCCTCCCTGCCCTCCCCTCCTCCTCTCTCCCCCTCAGTCACTCCCTTCCAGCCCCACGGGTCTCCTCGCTGGGCCTCAGCAGTACCGCCTGGCTCCCTCCTGCCATCTCCTTCTCATGGTCCCTCAAACACCACTTGATCTCTCCCAACCCCTCCTACTCCCCAAACCCCTTCCCTAAGTTTCCTCTGCTCTTGCGGCCTTCTCCCATGCCAAACTCCACACGTCTCACTCATTTGCTTTTTGCCCCTCCTCCCCACCCCTGGGGCTGGGCAACTGCACATGCTCTTGCTCCCTGGTCGCCCCAGGGCCTAGCAGAGACCAGGCTCACAGAAAGCACTTGATTAACGGCTATCAAACCAACAAACGCCCAAGCGGCTGGCGGAGCCTCCCAGGCCGGTGCCCACCACTGCTCAGAAACCTGTCCTTGGAGGCCACCCAGGTCATCCCAGGGCCATAGGTGAGGAGGGGGCAGATGAGGCCGCACCATGGGACCACACCCTCTCTGGGTTGGCTGCTTACAAGCTGAGAATAACAAGAAGAATGTCTTCTGAGTCTGTGCTGAGAAAGCCCTTGACGGGCGTCACCTCACACAAGCGTCACACAACCCATTTTACAGATCTGGAAACTGAGGCTCAGGCAGGGAAATAATGAGCTCAAGGCAGAGGTGGGGTCTAAGCCTGTGCTTATCTGCAGGCTCAGCACCACCAAGCAGGTGGTGCAGGCAGGACTAGAACCCAGGTTCAATCTGGGTCTTGAGTGTGAGGCTTTCCCTCCTAACTCACCACCTCATCCACTGCTTGCCCCCCACCCACCAGCAGCACATGGCTCGGGGGTCTTGGTCCAAATCCCTGGTGGGGCCCTGAGGCCCCCACCCTCCAGCCTGCGCCTCCCCTACCCAGCAGCGCAGCTCCCAGGGCAGCTGCGAACTCCTGCTTATTTGTCAGGACCCCTGGGTTCAGGCCTCTCCTCCCCCTCAGACCACCCCCTGGCCCATGCCAGGGCCTGTGGAGCCCCTGTCCTCTCCTGCCACCTTGGGTGCCCAATGCAAGTCAGCCCTGTTGACTTTAAAAGAAAAAGAAAGGTGGGAAGAGGCAGGGATGGCCCATGGGCCTCAGGTCCACTGCCAAGGACTCCCACCCACGCCAGTGGGGCCGCCATCACTCTGGGGCCATCTAGGCTGACTGGTGGTTCCACTGTCCCAGCTGCGAACCTTCACTTCTTTCCCATGGCACCCCAGGAACCTGGCTGAGGCTGGGATGTTTGCTCCGCCTCTCAGGAAGGCAGGGAATAAAGGAGACTCCGGCCCTGCCCTGGAGGCCCTGGACAGCCTGCCCCCTCCCCAGCTCTGCCCCAGCTGCACAGCCTCAGGGTCGCCTCAGCCCCGTCAGTTTGGCCGTGGCCCAGCCACAACCATATCAGCTCAGGCCACCCAGGCCTAAGTGTCTTGCAGCCCCAGCTTCTCAGGTTCAGCCTGGGAATGATGTTAGTGTCATGACCCCCACTGCACAGTTGGGGACACTCAGCCCAGAGGGACCGAATCCCTGGCCCAGGGTCACCCAGAGAGGACACTGGAGGCCAGAGCAGGACAAGGCCAAGGGGTACTAGCAGCCGACGGTGGGAAGACCAGGCCTCCTGGTGCCCCCGGCACACACTGCCTGCGGCCAAGGGGTGGCTGGTGGAGCCACAGGCTGGCCATTAATGAATGCGGCATTGTTGATGGCACAATCTGTTGTCCTGGGGGAATAAAGGGACCTTGAGGACACAGCACCCAGCGCTTCCACAGAAGTCAGTGGAACTACCAGCTGGGAGCCAGGCCCCCAGGACATACCGCTTGGCTAGCGGAGCAGGCAAGCCTTGCTGGCAAAAAGAAGCCGCCGCCTCTCGGAAGCCCTGGGGCTCCAGCCTCGCCCATGCAGGGCCCGAGGTGTGGGGGACAGTGTGGCATCCCTGGGGTGCAGACTCTGCACTTGGGGAGGAGCAGGTAGCCATGTGGGCAGGCCACCACGCAAGCAGGCCAGGCCCAGCCCCTCCTCCAGGAAGCGAGCCCTGCCCACCCTAGGCCCCCTGGACCAGCACTGAGGGCATCGTGTCCACAGTGATTCTGGGAATTGGAGGGCACAGGAGAGGTGCCCAAATGCCAGGGCCAGATGGGCCTCCATTTGCAATGGGGGAAGATGACGTGCTCAGGTCCCAGCACAGCAACAGGAACAGTGGGCCTGGTGGGGCCCAGCCCAGGCTGGAGGGTAGAAGTGGGCTTGGGAACACTCAGCAGATGATGAGCCCCAGGGTGGCCTGGTTCCCTGGGAACCAGCTACCACCCTCTCCTCACCTCCTTTCCCCTCCAAAAAACAAAAAAAAAAAAAAAAAAAAACAGTTGCCACGAGTCAACCCATGTATGTTAGAGTACAACTGTGCTCCACAGGGTTTTCAGTGGCTGATTTTTTGGAAGTAGATCACCACACCTTTCTTCCGAGGTACCTCTGGGTAGACTCAACTACCAGCCTTTCAGTTAGCAGCTCAGTGTGTTAACCGTTTGCATCCCCAGGGACTCTCCCTTTTCCAAAATGACCCCTAAATGGAGCAGGGGTGGACACACACAAAGGACAAGGTCTGGGGTCTGCATGGCCAGCTTCCCACGTGACCCATGTCCTCCTGGGCCAGGTGAGTCACCATCCCCCACTCGCGGTCCAGAGGCACGGATTCAGGCCCAGCCTGGCACAGGCAGGGGGAGGGGCTCTAGGAAGACGCTGGTGGGGACACAGCTGCTCCGGCTGTGGACCCCACGCCCAGGACATCAGAAGAAAGGTCGAGGCGCCCCCGGGGAACAATAGGCAGGCTGGGAAAATGGCGGGAGCTGACAGCCTAAAACATTAAGAGGATAAATGTGAAGATCTATAATTAGGTACAAATAAACAACCTCGCTCCTGGGGGCCGGGAGAATACAGAGGAAAACAACAGCATGTGGGGAACACCGGCGGGGGGGGTCCTTAGGGGCCTCCAAGATCAGGGGCATGAAGACAGTGTGATGTGGCCACCAAAACATAAACAACAAGGTAGCAGGTGGGGTTGGCGGGGCTGCCAGTGTCCCAAGCCAAGGGATGTGACCCCTCTGTGCCAGTGGCATGGACAGGGTGAGTGGGGGAGGGGGAGCGGGACAGCTCTGGCACAGGCAGAGCCAGGAGGACCTCTGCCCCCTCTCAATCCTGAAGGGCTCCCTGGAGGCAGTGGTGGAGCTGGGAGGGGGCCCAGAGGCTCCGCGGGAGCAGGTCCTGCGGGGCCCCACCCTTCTGACCCTGCGGCTTGGGCGGTGAGTCTCAGCCACCTCCCCAGTGCCTGCCATGGCCCCAGCAGGATGCAGAGTTTCGTCCCTGCCCACCCGCCACCATATGTAGGGCAAGTGATAGTGGTGGCTTCTCTCTTCCCTCCCGTCTCTCCTTTCTGATTTGCCAGAGTCAGATGTTGCTGTTGTTAGTTGCTGTCGAGTGGATTCCAACTCATGGTGATCCCATGTGGATACCTGGCTGCCACAAATGGCTAAGCACTCAGATACTAGCCAAAAAGTTGTCATTTCAAACCCACCCAGAGGCGCTTAGGAAGAAAGCCCTGGCAATCTGCTTCCACAAGGTCACAGCCTTAAAACCTCTATGGAGCAGTTCTCCTCTGACACACATGGGATCTCTGTAAGCTGGAATCGACTCGACAGCAGCTAACAACAACAAAGGTTACTAACTGAAAGGTGGGTGGTTTGAAACCACCCAGAGGCGCCTTGGAAGATGGGCCTGGCGGTCTGCTTCTGAAAAGTCACAACCTTGAAAAGCCTATGGAGCAGTTTTATTCTGCATACATGGGGTCACCATCAGCCAGGGTCACAGAAAGCTTCCCTTCCCAAAAAATTTACCTGAGCGACAAACTGAGGGGATTTAAATTACTCAACAACAGTAGACGGCCCTGGGATGCAGACATGTAGTAAGAGGGTGAAGGTGACACCTCCTACAGCCAGTCTGGGAAATGCCGATCTTGTGGGCTGGACTTTTGCTACCAACCCGCCTCAAGAAGGTCAGCGGGGCACCTGCTCGTGAAAGGAGGCCAGTGGGGAGGGCAGCAAGCAGGCAGGAGGGCACCTCCCCCCCCGCCCCCACTCCCCTGTGCCAGCTGCCGCAGAAGTCACACTGGCCTTTCCAGGAAGCGGACTCTGGGGATTCGTCCCAGGAACTGCATGGCCGTGCCGCCGCCCCTGACCCAGTAACTGTACTTCTGGGAACACACTTCAAGGAAGGAGCCCAAAAGGCAAAAAGATGACAACTTGGGCAAATGCTTGGCGCTGGGTTATTTATAACAGCGAAAGGTCGAGAATAATCAGAGTGCCCAACACACCGCAAGCCGCCATAGGGACCAGGAAAAGTCCCACTGCTTTGGCAGGGCCACAGAGGGTGGGTGCCCAGCAGGACCTGCACAGCAACTGCTTCCAGATGGGTGAGTACAGACAGGACAAGTGCGGCATGACTGGAGGCTGGTCACTCATCCCCAGAGGGCCCTTCCAAAGCACCTTCCAGCTTTAGGGTGAGACCCCAACATTCAGGCCTCACTGATCAGGCAGCTGCGTCTGCCAGCAATGCATCAGCCTGCATGGCTGTGATGCTGCTGGGCCTTTGCACAGGGACTCTCTGCCTGCAAGCCTTTTGCTGTGCGGATACCCCAGGCAGGGAGAGCTGCACCCCAGTCTTCTCATCTCAAGGACCCCGAGCCCGGCCCCAAGATGCTGGATGATACCACAGGCACAACAGTTGGCAAGGCCTGCTCCAGACACAGACCCCAATGGGCACAAGATGCCCTCAGCTGGTGTGGGAGGCAGACCCTCACACAGCAGGCAGCAGCCCAAGTCAGCTCCCTAGGGCGGTCACAGTCAGCCAGGGAGCCCAACAGAGGGCCTGGCCACGGCTCAGCTTCACATGCAAGGCGCTGCAAAACCAAAAGCCAAAAACCAAACCAGTACCCCTGGAGTCAACTTTGACTCATGGCAAACCCATGTGTGTCAGAGTAGAACTATGTTCCACAGGGTTTTCAAGGCTGTGACCTTTTGGAAGGTGATCACCAGACCTTTCTTCCGAGTTGCCTGAGTGGGTTCAAACCACCAGCTTTTCAGTTAGTAGTCAAGCACTTAACGGTTTGTGCCAGTTATGGACTCCTGCAAAGCCAGTGACCCCTAAACCGGCCCAGTGGAGAAAGCAGGGTCTCCAGTGAAGTGGTGGGTGTCTCCCCAGCTCGAGGGGCAGGGTGAAGGAGCTCCCCAGCTGGTCGCAGTTGACAATGGCTGGCTAGACCTGCCTAGGCCATCCTGGGTGCTCCTTGGGCAGGGGAGATCCCCCGCAGGTTGGCGGATGCCGGTGCCATCAGCCCGCATGTGTTGGGAGGTGGTCTAAGAGCCCTGAGTCCCAGTCCTGGCCCCAAGACCCTTCAAACATACTCCCTAGGCCAGGGCTCAAATCTGCCTCCAACACTTACTAGCTGTCCTTGCCTCTCTAGGTCTCAGTTTCCTACTCTGTAAGAGAGATGAAATCATAACGACCTTACAGGGTTGTGGGGAGGATTTAAATGAGTGCTTAGAAAAGGCAGATACTTGGTGAACGCTATTAAGCGTTCGGTACCACTGTTTCTGTTCTTCACCAGCCCTGGGTCCAGACCCAGGCGCTCCTCCGCCCATAATCAGGCCTGGCCCAGCCCATCCTACAGTCCCGCCCCCGCCGCTCAGAGCCAGTCCGCATCTTGGACACGCCCACCACATATTGGCCCCGCCCCGAAGGCCGAGCCCCCGTCACCCACCGAGCCCAGCCCGGCCCGCCAAATCCCGGGCGGCCCCGCCCCCTCTGAAGGCCCCGCCCCAACGGCCTCTCCCAGGGCTCCGGGCCCCACCCCTTTTGGGCCCCGAACCCCGCCCCGGCGCATCCCGGGTCCCTAGGCCTCTCGGAGCCGCCCTCACCACGCGGCCACGCACTCCAGCCCGAAGCTGACGGAGCCCGGCCTGCCTGACCTGCCCAGCTGTTGGACTCGCCGGGTCACAGGCCCCGGGCTCCGGGCTGGGCCCAACGGCCCAGAGCGCAGCCTCGGCCCGCCTGCCCGCCGACTCGTGCCCGCGCCCTCCTCCGTCTGTGTCCCACCGACCACACCTTTGAATAGGTAGTCGTACTCGTCGTCCCGGGTCCCCATTGTCCTGGCGCTTCCGGCGGGATCGGCGACTCCGCAGCCCCACCACAAACACCCAGCGGGGGCGGAGCCGGAGCGGCACAGAGCCGCGGTCGGATGGCCAATCAGCGGCGGGCGATGGAGTGACTGGCACCCGGCCTAGCCAATCAGAGGTGGAAGCAGAGCCTCCGGGGTGGGCGCCGCCTGGAGTCCGCCCTCTTAGCCTTCTGTCTCCTGGAGAAAGGCGGAAGGAATGCGGACCTTTCTGAAGTGACGGCCGCACTAGCTTATCAGAGGCGAGCTCAGGAAGGCGGGGCGGAAGACTGGAGGAATGAAACGGATTGACGGAGCGAGGCACCAATGAGAGCCTTGATTCAGATCCTACCGAACTACCGGAGGACCAGCCCGAGAAGGGAAATGGGGCTACGTACAGGTGATGTTACGCTGCAGGAGGTGTTGGCGTCCCGATGACGACATAGGTCAATACACTCAGCGCTGGCCTCCCCCAATAAGTAACCATTTTCGAGGGGCTCTGAGCGGGGTCTTTTCCACCTGGAGGTCTACTCTGCTCTTTCCGTTGCCGTTTCCATCTCTGCATTGGTGACCCATATGTCACTGTGTTCCTCAGTTTCCTCCTGTGAACACCTAACCACCTCATGGGTTCTTTTGAGGATAGCTAGATCATTTTCCTGAACACATACAAAATTAACCCTCCACTTTATGTCATTAAATTTTTCTTTAACAAATATTTGTAAATCCTCGCCGGTTACCAGGCACTTTTCAACATACCTTCCTACCTCTCTCTGCTCCCTTACCCTGTTTTCCCCCCATAAGATTTATCACTGTTGTTGTTAGATACCATCAAGACAATCGACTCGTAGTGACGCCGTATGACAAGAGTAAAGCTGCCCCAATAGGGTTGCCGAAGCTGTAATCTTAATAGAGGAGCACAGGTGTCGCAGTGTCTAGGCACTCAGCTGCTAAGTGAAAGGTCAGCAGTTGGATACCAGCATCTCCAAGGGAGAAAGACGTGGCATCGGCTTTCGTAAACTCTATAGGGCAGTTTTACTCTGTTTTATGGGTCGCTATGAGTCAGAATCGACTTGACAATAAATGGTCTTGTTTTGGGGTTTGGTTCAAAGAAATTTGAAGACATTAGTCTGCTTCACCTCTAAACACTTTAGCATGTTTAACTAGAGTTCATTATTTGTTTATGGCTCATTTTGTGTTTTTATTTTTAGGTAAAATTTACATATGCTGAAATGCACAAATCTTAAGTGACATTTGCTGAGTTTTGATAAAGGCATATAACTGAGTAACCTACCTCTATCAAGGTATAGAACATCACGCTCCTGCAGAAAGCTCCCTCACCCTGTCAGTCCCCACTCCACCCTTTCTGTTGTGTTAGTTGCCTTCAAACAGACTTCGATTCATGGCATCCTTATGTACAACGACAACACATTGCCCAGTCCTGCACCATTTTCATGATCATTGGTATTTTGAGCCCATTGTTGTTGCTATGGTGTCTATCCATCTCATTGAGCGTTTCCTTCATTTTCACTGACTCTCTGCTTTATCAAACATGATGCAAACAGAAGAAATAGTGAAGTAAAAGAGCTGAACAAAGGATTCCGCCCCTCCAAAGGCTACCGCTATTCTGTATTTCACCATAGATCAGTGTTCTAGCTAGAATTTTACATTGTTTTATTTTCATTGACTTTAGCTTTACTGACCTATTTAAGGCAGGTGATAGTGGTTTTCCATTTGTGATAGAGCTATAAGTTTATGTTTTATAAAACTGGGTTGATAAGTCCCGATATACCTGAGCCTGCACTGAAGGCATTGTCGAGAAACAAGGCTCCAGGAATTGATGGAATATCAATTGAGATGTTTCAACAAACGGATGCAGCACTGAAAGTGCTCACTCGTCTATACCAAGAAATTTGGAAGACAGCTACCTGGCCAACCGACTGGGAGAGATCCCTATTTATGCCTATTCCCAAGAAAGGTGATCCAACTGAACATGAAAATTATCGAACAATATCATTAATATCATAAGCAAGTAAAATTTTGCTGAAGATCATTAAAAAGCAGCTGCAGCAGTATATCGACAGGGAACTGCCAGAAATTCAGAATGGATTCAGAAGAGGACACGGAAGCAGGGATATCATGGCTGATGTCAGATGGATCCTGGCTGAAAGCAGAGAATACCGGAAAAATGTTTACCTGTATTTTATTGACTATGCAAAGGCATTCGACTGTGTGGAGCATAACAAATTACAGATAACATTGTGAAGAATGGGAATTCCAGAACACTTATTTGTGCTCGAGAGGAACCTGTACATAGATCAAGAGGCAGTTATTCAGACAGAACAAGGGGATACTTCGTGGTTTAAAGTCAGGAAAGGTGTGCATCAGGGTTGTATCCTTTAACCATACCTATTCAATCTGTATGCTGAGCAAATAATCTGGACTATATGAAGAAGAACTGACATCAGGATTGGAGGAAGACTCATTAACAACCTCTGTTATGCAGATGATACAACCTTGCTTGGTGAAAGTGAAGAGGACTTGAAGCTCTTTTGATGAAGGTCAATGACCACAGCCTTCAGTATGGATTGCACATCAACATAAAGAAAACAAAAATCCTCACAACTGGACCAATAAGCAACATTATGATAAATGGAGAAAAGATTGAAGTTGTCAAGGATTTCATTTTACTTGGATCCACAATCAACACCCATGGAAGCAGCAGTCAGGAAATCAAAAGACACATTGCGTTGGGCAAATCTGCTGCAAAAGACCTCTTGAAAGTGTTGAAAAGCAAAGATGTCACCATGAGGACTAAGGTACACCTGACCCAAGCCATGGTGTTTTCAATCGCCTCATGTACATGCGAAAGCTGGACGATGAATAAGGAAGACGGAAGAAAAATTGATGCCTTTGAATTGTGGTGTTGGCAAAGAATATTGAATATTCCATGGACTGCCAAAAGAACAAACAGATCTGTCTTGGAAGAAGTACAACCAAATGCTCCTTAGAAGCAAGGATGGAGAGACTACGTCTTACATACTTTGGACATGTTGTCAGGAGAGATCAGTCCCTGGAGAAGGACATCATGCTTGGTAAAAGTACAGGGTCAGTGAAAAAGAGGAAGACCCTTGACAAGATGAATTGACACAGTGGCTGCACCAATGGGCTCAAGCATAACAACGATTGTGAGGATGGTGCAGAACCCGGGCAGTGTTTCGTTCTGTTGTTCATAGGGTTGCTGTGAGTCAGAACCGACTCAACGGCACCTAACAACAACACGTGCCTGAGACTGAACTTTACACCTTTCGTCAGGCTTAATTATTAACAGCACCCCTTTCACTCTCAAAACTGTCCCAGTCTGGACCATCAGTTACAGGTCACAGTATCTCTAATGGGTGGGGCATTGAACATCAACTCTATAAAGACATGGATCTTTTTTTTTTTTTTAATTGTGCTTTAAATGAAGGTTTACAGAGCAAATTAAGTTCTCATTAAACAGTTCATACAGATATTGTTTTGTGACATTGGTTGCCAACCCTGTGATGTGTCAACACTCTCCCCTTCTCGACCTTGGGTTCCCTGTTTCCATTCGTCCAGCTTTCCTGTCTCCTCCCGCCTTCTTGTCCTTGCCCCTGGGCTTGTGTGCCCATTTAGTCTCATTTTGTTTTATGGGCCTGTCTAATCTTTGGCTGAAGGGTGAACCTCAGGAGTGACTTCAGTACTGAGTTAAAGGGGTGTCTGGGGCCCTTACTCTCAGGGTTTCTCCAGTCTCTGTCAGACCAGTACGTCTGGTCCTTTTTCTTGAGTTGGAATTTTGTTCTACATTTTTCTCCAGCTGTGTCCAGGATCCTCTATTGTGATCCTTGTCAGAGCAGTTGGTGGTGGTAGCCAGGCACCATCTAGTTGTGACGGACTCAGTCTGGTGGAGGCTGTGATGGTTGTGCTCCATTAGTCCTTTCTTAGTTCTCTAGTGCAGCTGTAACAGAAATACCACAAGTGGATTGCTTTAACAAAGAGAAATTTATTCTCTCACAGTCTAGTAGGTTAAAAGTCCGAATTCAGGGTGCCAGCTCTGGGGGAAAGTCCTTGTCATCAATCTTCCCTGGTCGAGGAGCTTCTCAGTGCAGGGACCCCAGGTCCAAAGGACAAGCTATTCTCCTGGTGTTGCTTTCTTGATGGTATGAGGTCCTCGTGTCTCTCCGCTAGCTTCTCTCTTTTATATCTCAAAAGAGATTGACCTAAGACACAACCTATTCTTGTAGATTGACTTCTGCCTCATTAACATAACTGCCTCTAATCCTGCCTCATTAACATCATAGAGGTAGGATTTACAACACATAGGAAAATTGCATCAGATGACAAAACGGTGGACAATCACACAATACTGGGAATCATGGACTAGCCAAGTTGACACACATTTTGGGGGGACACAATTCCATTGTGTCTTTGGTTTTCTTTATTCTCCCTTGCTCCAGATGGAGTGGGTGTTTTTTTTTTTTTTTAGTGGTAAATATGTATGTGATAAAACATTTGCTGTTTCAACCTTTTTCACAGTACAATTCACATTAATTACATTCATCATGTTGTGCAACCGTCACCGCTGTCCATTTCCAAATGTTTTCATCATCCTTAACAGAAATTTAGTATTCCCCTAAGCAATGAATCCTCCTTCCCCCCTCCCTCCCACCTTTCCCTGGTACCCGCTAACAAACTTTGGTCTCTAGACACTAGCATGTTCTAGATATTTCATATAAGTGAGATAACACAGTATTTGTCCCTTTGCAACTGACTAATTTCACTTAGCATAATGTTTTCAGGGTTCATCCAAGTTGTAGCATGTATCAGAACTTCATTTCTCTTTATGGCTGAGTAATATTCCATTGCATTCCATTCCCTTCCATTGCACATTTTGTTCCTCCATCAATCTGTTATTTGGCAGTTGGATTATTTCCAGCTTTTGGCTATTGTGAATAGTGCTGCAGTGAACAGTGGTGTATAAGTACTCATTTGTGTTCCTGCTTTCAGTTCTTTTGGCTAGATACCTAGGAGTGGAATTGCTGGATCACACGGTAATCTTATGT